ATTTATGTGCTAACTTAGCTCTTTTTTCAAATTTGATTTTGGGATGATATTAGTTGTAAAAAAATTCCTCCTTCCTTTATGTCTTTGTTAAAGGAGGAATATGGGTGTAATTAGTTGTGTTTTAATAAAATATACTTTATGCATTTTATTCAAAAAATAAAAATGGAGTAGGAGGTATTTTGAGATTCTGAAATAATTTTAAAATGCCTCAACCTATCCTATGTGTTGGACTTTACATCTTGGTTTAGAGAATTTTAATTTAAGTTGTCATTTTATTAGAATGATGGGACTTTACTCCCAAAATTAGGGACTTATAATTTTGGGTCCACTTTAGATCCTAAATCTAAGTTGGGCACTAAACCATAGTAGCACAAACCTAGTTAATGACTTGAAAAATTGGAATCATCCCAGCCTGGATTGGGGAGCCAACTAGCTTCCCAATGCTTCAAAACCATGTGTCCGATCTTTTATGAAAAATGGGTAAATATGCTGTTTAACTTTTGAGAAATTAGGGCCGATGTTTAGAGAATGTCCTATGTGTCCCCTTTACTTATGTATTGTGATTATACTTGAATGCAATTAAAATTTTAATTCTTTATTTGGTTTATAATGCAATACATGTTAATTGACCTTGTGTGCATAAATGATATGAAGAAGTTTAGAAATTTAGCTTATAAAATATATTTTTCCCTAGATATTACACAAAATTTCTTAGATAAAGTTACACCATAATTGGCTAGGTGGTCTGCCATAACCCTTAGGCAAGGAGTTGCCTAATAAGGAATGGAAGATTTAATATGAATACATGAAACCCTCGACGAGCTCGAGCTTACCTCTTAAAGTTTTTTATGTTTTTATGTTGACCAAAATTTTTTATCTAAAGTACAAGTATAAAAATTATAGTCTTTAGAGAGCCTAAATGCATCCAAGCAAAAACAAAATCAACATGCAAGAGTAAGAAACCTAAAAAGATTATGAAACTCCTACTATGAAAAATTAAACACCTCAATCAGATCATATAACCAACATAAAATAAGTTAATGTAAAGTCCAAGTGGTAAATGCCACTTAATTAAATTCTAAGGTCTATAAAACTAAAAGTGGTCGGGTAACACTAACAAAAACTTGAATTGTAGTCCTAAGAATGACACAAGTAATTTTAAAATGGAATATTTTTGAAGTCTTCCTTTATTATTCTTCATCACATCTGTGTGCTCCTTGGATTCTTTGGGTTCAAGTATCCAAATGGAAAGAACTCCTCCCCAAAGTTGTGTTTCTTTTCTCTTATGATTTTCAAATCAACCTAACTTGAATCCACAAATGAAAGAAACTCTCCCCTAAGGGATGTTTCCTATCTCTTAGGACTCTAAGTTGGATGGTTAATATCCCATCTTAAAATTGACTTTCACAACTCAATTAAATTAAAATACATGTTAAAAATTTAAAAGACTCTAGACAACCTGTATAGTTATCCTGAGTAATTATAATCAAAATCATTAACATAATCTCAAGTAGATATATAATTAAATTGCTCAAATTAATGTACATTCATACTTGGCTATGCTCTTTTAATTTTAAGGGATTAACATAATTTACCCATACAAAAAAATTGTTAATTAAATTTTCATCAAACCCCTTAATTTTAGCCTTATATCAACATGAACCACCTAAAGAAAATCTTGTGAGCATCCAGATTATTCCTTACATAGAATTAATATAACTCCCATCAAATAAATTCACAGATAATATAATAAAATTAACACATCAATGAATTCATTATAATTAGCATGCTATAAAATCGAAGGAAACCCTTAGTAAAAAAGTAGCAGGAAAAGGAAAGAACATTAGCTTAGCCTAAAAATAGGATTGATTCTCCTAAAAAACCATCTAAAGTGTGTGTGTGTGTTAGGCTGTGTGGCTTGGATATGTCCTTTATTAAGTAGTTGTTAAATTTCTCTAATATTTTAATATTTATTATAGGTTAAAGGTGATTTTTAATTTAAATTTAAGTATTAATATTTTAATGTTAATTTTAAGAAAAAAATTTAAGTGTTGAGTGATTTAATGTTCATTTTAAGATGAGTTTTAAGTGTTGAGTGATTTAATGTTCATTTTAAGATGAGTTTTAAGTGTTGAGTGATTACTACCTTTATCTACACTAGGGCCTTGAAGTTTATTTTATGTTTTTTGGGGCTAAGTTAATAGCTTGGTAGGCCAAGATTACCCAATTATAAAAAATTTATTTAATTTGATTGGTTAAAATTAAGGGTTGATGATTTTTATTTAAAAATTGGTTGGTTGTTGATTTGACTCATTAAATTAATTATTTTATTTACCATTAACTGGTTTGCGGTGTTATCATAGTGGGCTCGAGGAACCATGCCTCCTTAAGACACGTAGCCCTGCAGCTCAAGGTCTATCATAAAAATAAGGCTGATGTAGTTGAATTAAGGATTTAAATTTGTTTAACTAATTAATGATCAATTAATTTTATGATTTTGCATTCCAATGAATTTGTTCGTGGTGTTGTTAGAGTGGGCTAAAGGAACTAGATCTCCTAAGGACAAGTGTCCCTACAGCTCAAAGTAGTACAACCTAAAAACTTCATCAATTAAGTCTTTATTGTGTTTTAAGGTGGTTATCATATTTTGGTGATTAGATTAATATTTTCTAGTGTTTTGATCATTTGTTGAGTTTTTGGGATTTTATGAATTATTTAATTCATTAAATTAAGGAGTCCAAATTTGACTTTTTAATTAAGATTAAATTCTAGAATTTTTTCATTTTCATAAATATTAGACCCTAAGGTGAGTAAAAGAATACAAAGTTCGTTGGATTTGAATTTTTTTAGATTAAGTTATAATTTTTTAAAGTTTTGACATGTTATTGAACTAAAGTTGATCGAAAAGTTATTTTTTTATAATTTTGAGTGATTTATAAAAGTTGGTTAATTTTATTAAATATTTGACCCTCAAAGGAGTCAATTTTTTTTATTTTTCTCAATTTGGAATTTTTTGAATTAATTATGAATTCGTGAAGTTTTGGTATTTAATTGAATTAATTAATTACTTAATTAAGGAAGTTTTGATGAATTTGTACAAAACTCACTCAAAACTTCTTGAAATCACTCCCAAAGGTCAAGGAAGGCCTGTAGGAGAGTTTTGATTGTTTTAAAATTTATTTGATATTTTTAATAATTTTTATTTATTTAATTTAATTAATTTTTTATTTTCTTTAAAATATAAATTAAGTTCAAAATTGAAGTCTAGTAATGGGGCTTTTAATTTTCATAGATAGAAGATTTAAGTATGAGAAATTTGATATATTATTGTAATTTTCAAGGATGTGAAAACCAAACCGAACAACAAATCAGAAAAAAGGGAGATTCAAGGTTTGATTGGTCGAACTGGATGTGATAACAAATTTATAATATATAAATTTATAATACAAATTAAAAAAAACTTTGCACCAAACTAGCCAAATTCGTGGCCCAACCAGCCCAAATTTGTGGCCCAACCAACCTAAATTAGTGGCCCAATAAAGCCCAAACTTACATTCAAACTCATATAGCATTCATGTAACTTTTTTAGTCCTACATCATGAAGGAGTATGAGATGGTTGTCTTTTAGCTCTTTATATAGTTCCCTATTTTCTAACAAAACTTATTTTATGAGATGACATCCATATATTATGTTATTAAAAATCTTATTATTTAATAAAAAAAAATATTTAAAAAATGTAATAAAGTAAAATATATTGTTTATATTTTACTTAAAATAAAAAAAAATATTAAAGCTGGCCGGTTCTTTCTAACATAGACTGGTTCGCTGGTTCACCGGTTGAACTGCCGGTTCAGTTTGATTTAGGTCGATTCTCTACGAAGCTGGTTTTTAAACTGGACCAGATCGGACAACTGGCCGGTTCACAGTTGAACTGGTTGAATTGGCTGGCCCGGTCCGATTTTTAAAACCTTAGTAATTTCTTTGAAGTTTTAGGCTCTTAAAAAGGCTGATTTTTAACTTGATTAATTTTTTGACATAATGTGCTCCAAATTATGTGAAATTTGAACCTAAGGTGTAAGATGTCACTAAGTTCACATGTCTTGAGTTTCCCCCGTATTAGGTGCATATTTAATTTTATATGATTTATATTAATTGCTAAACATTTTCATTGAATTTTGTCCTTAGGTGACAATAAGTCATATATGTTTGAAATCAATGTTTTCTAACCCTTGACATATACATAAACAATTACACCATGCCAATCATGTGACCTAAGTCTAAGTGCATTTAAAGGGATGAATTCTCAAGCATTTAGGTTAAACCATAATCCAAACAATTGAAAATCCACCCAAGAATAAATTCCCCACATGATTGTTACTAAAATATTATGGTAAGTGAAGCATATACCATGACATTTACTAATCAAACTTGAATGTGAGGCAAGAAGTGTCTGAGAAATGATTATGCAATATAAAGTAAAGGATCACATACAATTGTCCTAAACACATTCATATGATTAATTTCACTCCATTCATATTTAAGCTCTGTTCAAAGACTCCATAGAAGATTTGATTGATGGGAAAGAGGCTAAGATTAAATCCCAATGAATTTTTTAAAATATAAAGTTAATTATGAGCCATAATAATGTAAAATTAATTATCATCAAAATACAAGTCAAATAATTTTGAAAATTTACAGTAGGTAGCACATAACATGAGGTTTAATGCTGCCTAATCTCAACTTAATTAGATAAGTATTAAGAGAGTAATTAAGAAAATTAATAAAATAAACTTACTAATATTACACCATAAATACCCATCATCATGAACTAAAAATATTTTTTTAAAAATAAATGGAATTATGAGCAATTTGAGTGGTTGAACATAATTAATTTTTGGCCAATTAATCAATTAACTATTAATTTTGGGAAATTATGTGATTAAAAATAATTTTATATTTTTTTTATTGACTTTAAAACTAGCAGTAGCAGCAGAAGGCCATGCGTTCTGATTTGCCAAATCAAAACGTAGAAATGATCGAGCCAAAGGAATCTCACGTGAAAACGGCTATGGTTTTTCCTGCTTCCGCTCTAGCGCTCTTCTGACTCTCTTCTTCTCCTCTCCTTCTCCTCCGGCTTTGCCGGAGGATTTTTCTCCCTCTTTCTGATGGAAGGCTCTCTTCCATCATCTGCGTTCCCTCCGCTTGGCTCGAAGAATGGTCGAGAGGCTTTTTCCTCTCCGCGTGACTGGTCTCAGGTTTTTGCTCCTGCAAAAGACATGCCAAAAGTCCTAAATTTGTCCCACTTCCTGGAGGAGCCTGATGTTATCCCTTTCACGGGGGAGAAACTGCTTCAGGGGGGTGAAGATTGGAAGTTATGTCTGGTGGGTTATTCGATAGGGAGGCGACCTTTTTATGAAGCAGTACTTGGCACCATTAAGAAGACCTGGAGCTTGATAGGCTCTGTTCAACTACTTTCCTTAAGCGAAGGTTTTTTTCTTCTGCGTTTCTCTTGTAATGAAGATCTTGAAATGGTGTGGTCTAGAGGTGTTTGGTTTCTGCTGGGGAAACCATTTGTGTTGCAAAAATGGCATCCTAAGTTTAAGCCTAAGAAGGAAGACTTCAAGAATGTTCCCATTTGGGTCAAAATCCATGACTTACCACTTGCATGTTGGAATTCCGAAGGAATCTCGCGGATAGCTAGTAAGATCAGGGTTCCTATTGCGGCGGACAGCCTGACGAAACAGAAAACTCGCCTCACTTTCGCTCGCGTCTGTGTATTAGTGGACTGTAACGCTACCTACCCGGAAGAAATCAAGGTTTCCTTAGATGGGGACGTTGTCTGCTTGAAGGTGCATTATGAATGGCGCCCTTTCCCTTGTTCTCACTGTAATTCTCTGATGCATTTTTCTTCATCTTGTCCGTCTAAGCCAGAAGAGGTTACAAACGTTGAAAATGCTAATGCTAGACAGAATCGGGGTAGAAGTATGAGTGGAAAGCCCAATTCTCGTCATCCATCCAAAAAACCCAACTTTGCGAGACCTCCTGCTTCTCAGGAATCTCCCTCTCGCGCTTTGAATGTTGACTCTGGTGGCTCTTTTATTGATCAGGGAGTTTCTAACATGCTTGGACAACCTCTAATCTATCAACCTCACTCACCGCCCCCTTTCAAAATGGGTTCCCCTCCTAAAGATCCTCCTTTGGTTCCTCCATCTATCGTATCACAGTCTGATAAAGCTGATGACGGGTTAGGTATTCCTAACCTGAACTTCCCTAATGAAGCTGCATCCTCTTCCACAGGCATTCCTCAACCCAAATCCAAACTGAATTCTAAAATTGTAAAAGATCCTTCAGCAAGGGGTCTTGCTCAAAAAGAACTTATTTCGCCTAATAAATTTGATGCTTTAAATATTGAAGACGATGCCCTGTCGCATTCTAATGTGAATGCCGAGTCTGTGGGAATCTCTGATGCTGATAAGGAAGTAGGTGGTGGTGAATCTCTTTTTATAGAGGTATGCAAGGCAAAAAATTCTCAGCCAAGTGCTGCTTCCAAAAAAACTGCTAAGGGAAAGCAGGTGAAAAAATCCCAAAACTCTTCTAAGTCTTAATGTTATTGCCTCATCTAGCGGCGTGGAATATCAGGGGATTTAATCGGCCTGATAAAGTCTTATGCTTTAAGCGACTTGTGGAATCTTTCAAACTTGATTTGGTTTGTGTTCTGGAGAATAGGATCCAGAAGAAGTCTTTAAATGATCATTTTTTTGTGACTGCTCATTCCCTCTTTTTGAATGAATCTTGCTGTCATAATTTTGATTTTTCCCTATCTGGGAGAATTTGGGTCAAGTGGGACCCCCTCAAATTATCTTTTACTCCTAATTTTATCACCTCTCAAATGATTAATGGCATTGTTTCAGGAAGTTCCTTTACTTCCTTTAAACTCACAGCTGTGTATGCTTCTAATAATAGTCAGGATCGTAAATCTCTGTGGGAAGGCATTTGTTCGGTGGCTCCTGACAGCCACACTCCTTGGGTGATCATTGGGGATTTCAACTGTTGTAGGTATGCTTCTGAGAAGATTGGAGGGACGGACATTAATCAAGCTGCCTTGCTTGACTTCAATAACATGAATTTTAACAATTGTCTCTTGGATCTGCAATCTATTGGGTGCAAATTCACGTGGTTCAATCAACGCCAGGACTACCCTATTCATATAAAACTTGATAGGGTATTGGTGAATGAGTCCTGGTTGAATGTGTATCCTGACTCTTACTGTTCGTATCAAAGTCCTTCCTGCTCAGATCACTCTCCGATTCTCCTTCTCTCTGGTAATCACTCTCCGGTTAAGCATAGATTCCTTTTTAAAAACTATTGGACTAAGTTAGATGATTATTGGTCTCTTCTCATTGAGACTCTCTACTTGCCTTCTACTGGTAATCCTCTTGGGCATCTGTGTAATATGTTCAGAATTTTCAAAAAGACATTAAAACAAAATCCTGGGCTTCTTCCTCTTATGTTAGTAGGCACATTGAACTCCTTCACAATAACCAACAGGATTTGTTGGCCTCCCTCCACTCGGACCCCTTCAACTTTTCCTTGAATCAGTCTTACAAGGAGAATAATACTAAGCTGGCTGAGTTCATGTCTTTGCATACTTCTTGGATCATCCAAAGGGCTAAGGTCAACTGGTTAAAGTATGGTGAAGATGACCTTAAATTCCTCTATGCTAAAATAAGATTAAGGATGGAAAGCAAGAAATCTGTGGTCAATCTGCTTTTCTCTAATCTTCAATCTTCTAGAGCTTAAATGATCTCCACCATTATTCATTACTTTGAAGAGATATATAATCCCTCACCTCCCAGCAATATGAATATGGACATCTTCCCTGTGGGAAATATTTTTTCTGAAGAGTATGTTTCTTCTTTAAACTGTTATGTGACGGATGGTGATATTAAAAGTGTTGTTTTCTCGGGCTCATCTAAATCTGCCCCTGGCCTTGATGGTCTCAACTTCCACTTCTACAAATTTGGCTGGCACATTCTTGGTCCTACTGTTTGTAGGGCTATCAGATCCTTCTTTATCAAAGGGTTTCTTCCTAAAGGTGTTAAATCTACTGCTTTAGCTATTGTCCCCAAACATAAAAATGCTTCCAGCATTTCTGATTACAGGCCGATTGCGCTGTGTAATGTTCTCTATAAAATTATAGCTAAGATTTTGGCTGCTAAGTTGAAACCGATTATGAACTGGATAGTAAAAGATAATCAAGCTGGGTTTGTTAACTCTAGAGTGTCTACTGATAACATACTTCTTGCTAATGATATTCTTTATCATGCTGGTAAAAGAGGTGGGGATAACATTTTCTGTGCTAAACTGGATATTAAGAAAGCTTTTGATTCTGTCTCTCGGCAATTCCTTCTAGCTAGACTTGCACAAAAAGGCTTCCCTAGCTTTTTTATTAGTTGGATAAAAGCTTGTATTACAGATGTCAACTTCTCTATATTGTTGAATGGTGCACTTGAGGGGTACTTTCCTACTTTGGCTGGGTTGAGGCAGGGGTGTCCTCTTAGCCCCTACCTTTTCTGTATTGTGATGGATGCTTTTTCCAATTCACTTCCCGGAGGAGCCTGATGTTATCCCTTTCACGGGGGAAAAACTGCTTCAGGGGGGTGAAGACTGGAAGTTATGTCTGGTGGGATATTCGATAGGGAGGCGGCCTTTTTATGAAGCGCTGCTTGGCGCCATTAAGAAGACCTGGAGTTTGATAGGCTCTGTTCAACTTCTTTCCTTAAGCGAAGGTTTTTTTCTTTTGCGTTTCTCTTGTATTGAAGATCTTGAAATGGTGTGGTCTAGAGGAGTTTGGTTTCTGTTGGGGAAACCGTTTGTGTTGCAAAAATGGCATCCTAAGAAGAAAGACTTCAAGACTGTCCCCATCTGGGTCAAAATTCATGACCTACCACTTGCATGTTGGAACTCCGAAGGAATTTCGTGGATTGCTAGTAAGATAGGGGTTCCTATTGCGGTGGACAGCCTTACGGAGCAGAAAACTCGGCTCACCTTTGCTTGCGTCTGTGTATTAGTGGATTGTAATGCTACCTACCCGGAAGAAATCAAGGTTTCTTTAGATGGGGACGTTGTCTGCTTGAAGGTGCAATATGAATGGCGCCCTTTCCCTTGTGCACACTATAAGTCTCTGACGCATTTTTCTTCATCTTGTCCGTCTAAGCCAGATGTGGTTACAAATGTTGAAAATGTTAACGCAAGACAGAATCGGGGTAGAAGTTTTAGTAGAAAGCCCAACTCCCGTCACTTATCCAAAAATCCAAACTTCGCCAGACCTCCTGCTTCTCAGGATTCTCCCCCTCGCGCATCGAATGTGGTCTCTGGTGACTCCTTAATTGATCAGGGAGTTTCAAACATGATTGGACAACCTCTACTTTATCAACCACACTCACCGCCCCCTTTCAAATTGGGTTCCCCTGCTAAAGATCTTCCTCTGGTTCCTCCACCTATCGTATATCAATCTGGGAAAGTAGATGACGGGTTAGGTATCCCTAACCTGAACTCCCCTAATGAAGCCACATCCTCTTCCACAAGCATTCCTCAATCCAATTCCAATCTGAGTACTAAAATCGTTAAAGTAACATCAGCTGGTGATTTTGCTCAAAAAGAAATTATTTCGCCTAATAAATTTGATGCTTTACATATAGAAGATGATATCCCGCTGCAATCAAATGTGAATGCCGAGTCTGAGGGTATTTCTGCTACTGATAAGGAAGAAGGTGGTGGTGAATCTCTTTTTAAAGAGGTATGCAAGGCAAAAAATCCTCAGCCTAGTGCTGCATCCAAAAAAACTGCTAAGGGAAAGCAGGTGAAAAAATCCCAAAATTCTTCTAAGTCTTAATGTTTTTGCCAAATCTAGCGGCGTGGAATATCAGGGGATTTAATCAGCCTGATAAAGTCTTATGCTTTAAGCGACTTGTGGAATCTTTTAATCTTGACTTGGTTTGTGTTTTGGAGAACAGAATTCAGAATAAGTCTTTAAATGATCAATTTTTTGTGACTGCTCATTCCCTCTTTCCGAATGAATCTAGCTGTCATAATTTTGACCTTTCCCTATCCGGGAGAATATGGGTTAAGTGGGATCCTCTCAAATTATCTTTCACTCCTAATTTTATCACCTCTCAAATGATTAATGGCATTGTTACTGGAAGTTCTTTTACTACCTTTCAAATCATTGCTGTGTATGCTTCTAATAGTAGTCAGGTTCGAAAATCTCTGTGGGAAGACATTTGTTCGGTGGCCCCTGATTGCCATACTCCTTGGGTGATCATTGGGGATTTTAACTGCTGTAGGTATGCTTCTGAGAAGATTGGAGGGATGTATATTAATCAAGCTGCCTTGCTAGACTTCAACAACATGATTTTTTAACAATTGTCTCTTGGATCTGCAATCTATTGGGAGTAAATTCACGTGGTTCAATCAACGTCAGGACAATCCCATACATATAAAACTTGATAGAGTATTGGTGAATGATTCCTGGTTGAATGCGTATCCTGACTCTTACTGTTCGTATCAAAGCCCTTCATGTTTTGATCACTCACCGATTCTCCTACTCTCTGGTAATCATTCTCCGGCTAAGCACAGATTTCTCTTTAAAAACTATTGGACTAAGCTAGATGATTATTGGTCTCTTCTCATTGAGACTCTCTATTTGCCATCTACGGGAAATCCTCTGGGCCACCTGTGTAATCTGTTCAGAACTCTCAAAAAAGAAATCAAAGCAAAATCCCGGGCCTCTTCCTTTTGTGTTAGTAGGCACATTGAACTTCTTCACAACAATCAACAGGCTTTGCTGGCCTCCCTCCACTCGGATCCCTTCAACTTTTCCTTGAATCGGTCTTACAAAGAAAATAATATTAAGCTGGCTGAGTTCATGTCTTTGCAAGCTTCTTGGATCATACAAAGGGCTAAGGTTAATTGGTTAAAATATGATGAAGATGATCTGAAATTCCTTTATGCTAAAATTAGGATTAGAATGGGAAGCAATAAATCTGTGGTCAATCTGCTTTCCTCTAATCCTCAATCTTCTAGAGCTGATATGATTTCCTTCATAATCCATTACTTTCAAGAGCTGTATAATCCCTCACCTCCCAGCAACATGAATATGGATATCTTCCCTGTGGGAAATATTTTGTCTGATGAGTATGTTTCTTCTTTAAACTCTTATGTGACGGATGGTGATATTAAAAGTGCTGTTTTTTCGGGTTCATCTAAATCTGCCCCTGGCCTTGATGGTCTCAACTTCCACTTCTACAAATCTGGCTGGCACATTCTTGGTCCTACTGTTTGTAGGGCTATCAGATCCTTCTTTATTAAAGGGTTCCTACCTAAAGGTGTTAAGTCAACTGCTTTAGCTATTGTCCCCAAACATAAAAATGCTTCCAGCATTTCTGATTACAGGCCGATTGCTCTATGCAATGTTCTCTATAAAATCATAGCTAAGATTTTGGCTGCTAAGTTGAAACCGGTTATGAACTGGATAGTAAAAGATAATCAAGCTGGGTTTGTTAACTCTAGAGTGTCTACTGATAACATACTTCTTGCTAATGACATTCTTTATCATGCTGGAAAAAGAGGTGGTGATAATATCTTCTGTGCAAAGCTGGATATTAAGAAAGCATTTGATTCTGTCTCCCGACAATTCCTTCTAGCTAGACTTGCCCAAAAAGGTTTTCCTAGCTTTTTTATTAGTTGGATAAAGGCTTGTATTACAGATGTCAACTTTTCTATATTGTTGAATGGTGCTCTTGAGGGATATTTTCCTACTTCGGCTGGGTTGAGGCAGGGGTGTCCTCTTAGCCCCTACCTTTTCTGTATTGTGATGGATGCTTTTTCCAATTTGCTGGAAGGTAGAGGATTCAAAGGTATCACAAATGGTAATTTTTCTCTCAACCACCTGTTATATGCAGATGACGTTTTGATTTTTGGTGAGGCTACAACAGAAAACTGTCTTATTCGTGCTAATGCTATAACTGATTTTGCCAATTCCTCTGGTCTCTTCATCAATTATGAAAAATACTCCATTATGTTTCCTAATCATTTGAGGAATCAACTTGAGGTGTGTCAAATGCTTTCTATCCACTCCATTGTTAACAAGATTACTTATTTGGGGATTCCTCTGTCCTTTTATAGGCTTAATGTGGCTGATTTTATGCCTTTGTTAGATAGTTTAAACAAGAAACTTAATGGTTGGAAAGCCAATCTACTCTCTTTTGCGGGTAGGCTTCAATACCTCAAATTCACCATTCAAAACACCATTTCCTACTGGATCAGAGGTTCATTTATACCTAAATCTGTGCATAAGGTTTTTAAAAAAGTTAGCTCTAGATTCCTGTTTTTTGGTGAAGTCAATTCGGTTAAGAAGCTCCATAAGGTCTCTTGGGATAAAATTTGCATGCCTAAAGAGAAAGGGGGATTGGGGATTCACTCTCTTAATGCTTTGCAATATGCCTTCAATTGTTCTGTTATTAGTTAGATGTATAATCATGATTCTCCTCTAGCTCGCTGGTTGTTAGCTAAGTACCGCTCTCCTTGGAAGCCTACGCACAGTTCTTCTTCAAAGATGTGGGAATCTATTTGTAAAACGGCTGAAACTGTGAAAAGTTGCTTTCATTTTACTATCTTTCCTAAGTGCCCCATTTCCTTAAAATGGGATCACTGGTGTCTTAACTCCACACTGGGGAGTATTGCTGGTTTGGCTGATAATGCTGGTCTGCCGGACATTAGGCTAGCTGATATTATATCTGAGAATGGATGGGAGATTTCTGGAGTTATAAATCCAATGTTGCATCAGTATTTTGAGAGGGTGAATATTGTGAATGGTGTGGGGCTTTGCTTGCTTTGGTATAACAGGAATTGCTTTCGATTAAACTCATTTATTAAAGAATTTTACACTGATTACCCGGATTGCCATTGGTATAAAATGGTTTGGCACAAAAAGCATATTCTTAAACATTCTGTATTTGTTTGGTTGGCCTTAAAGGATGGTTTAAAGACTGCGGCTGCTCTCAGGATTAGGCAAATCTTTGTTCCCATCTCTTGCAGTTTATGTCATTTATGTGCTGAATCTGTCGCACATCTCTTTTTTGAATGCACTTATTCTTTCTACATTCTAAAATGTCTTATTCCTGGAGTAGAAATCTTTCTATTAAGACCGTCGATTCTGCAATTGTTTGATTGGATGAATGGTGAATTTGGCTCAAATGCTAATACTTTGAATTTTTACAAGCTGGCGGTTGGTTGTATTATATACTTCACCTGGAAAGAGAGAAACAGAAGGAGATTTGGTGGAAATTCTAACTGTTCCACCACTGTGCTGTTGAATATCAAACGAGTAATTTTTGAGAAGGTGATGAAATGGAAGTGTGCTAATGAACTGCTGGATTATCTTTAAGCAGCTGGTTTTATCGGGTTCTGCGATATTCGGAAGGATATGGCCTGGAGGTGTTGCTTTATTACTCAGGACTATGATGAAGCTCCAAAATGTTGCACGACGAATTCTACCCCTTGGATGGCCTTCGGGCAACCAGGGGTTTTTTCCCCTTTTATAATTTCTGAGTCCTGGTTAATTAGCTCTGGAGCTTGTTCTCTGTTTGGTTCAAATCTAATATCATTGTTATTGTGTGGCTTCTTTTCTGTCATTTCAGATTCTCCAGTTTCTTCTATTGCCACTGCAGATGGTTCGTGCTTATGGTTGCTGGACTCTGAAGCTTTTTGGCTCCTTTGGGGCGGTTACTTAATTCTGATTTGCTTTGCTTATAGGTTTAGATTTGTTTTCTCTTACTTACATGTAATTTTGGCTATAAGGGTGGTATAGTTGGGGTTTTTTTCTTCCTATCTTCTACATGAGGTTTTGTTTTTTTCTTATGTAGAATTCTCTTCTTGTATTCACCTTTTTACATGTAACTTTTTGTTATTTAATAGATGGGCTTAGGCCCCAATTATTCCCAAAAAAAAAAAAAAAACGTAGAAATGACTACACTATAGATCATTGATTACCAATGATTTCACCACATACAATCATTGATATTTAATGTGGATATGATGGCAGGCTGATGTGCGTCTCACTTAGCCAAGTAAGCAGCATTTCTCAGCCATCCATCCACACATGATTTTAATAGACTATTGTGATCTAGCCCGATGGAGGATGAAACAATGAGATATCACTTACGATTTGGATAAGTGACGGAATGATGAGATCAGATCTATTGATCGCGCGATCAACAACTCAAAAAATGTACATGTGCATGGATTACATGACTAACCTGATAAATGGAATAATAATGTCTTTCTGTTAAAATAACCAACCAAACTTCATGAAATTTTTGGCAAAGTCTAGTGAAATGAAGAGTAACAATGGGGGAACATTTGCTTGGCTTAAAACAAGCTTTTTGAAAAGCTATTTTTTCATCTTCTTTGTTTTTTTTTTTTTTTTGAAAAGCTGTTTAAACCTATGTGGCCTAAGCTAGGGTTTAAGATTAACCATGATTGGATTAATTGTTTTGGACATTTGATGGCTTTTTGAGCTTGTAGTCTATCCTAGTTTAATCCTCTAAAATAAATAGATGGTTAAAACAACCTGGATCACGAGCTCTAGGCCTTGGACAGACTAGGTGGTTGATGTCACTAAAATATCACTGCTGTGGTGTGCAATCATCGAGATTTTGTAGTGGAAGTGTGGAGAGATGTATCTAAATCCAAAATGAAATGAGAGCTTAGCTGGAGATAGTTTGGGGACTCAGTTAGTGTAGTTGTATGATTTGAGACACTTAAGCATCTTTAGCCATATGGTTAGAATTGGATGGTTGTGATGCATTAGAGTACTTCATTGGATGCCCTACACATGTTGTATAGTATATTGTTTTGATGAAGGGTCAAAAGCTTAAAGCAATGCCATTAGGATATGACCAAAAATAAAAAGGTTGACAAAGTATTTGAGTTGACTTTTGTCAAATCCATCATGATTTAACTTATAAATGATTTAGGGGCTCTCATATCAAGCATTGGAATGGATTTGGGGGCTTGAAGGAGTTGATTTAATTGCATGAAGTGATTTGACATAAATGGGTCAGGTTTGATCAAACTTGTGTTATGCTAACTAATTTAACTATTAGTTGTATCAATGTGTACAATCATTAAAAATTTACTAGGATATATGCTCCAATGAGTTTGATGAAGGTCAGGGTTGATTTGGAGGTCAAATGGAATTGACCAGAGAAAGCAACAATTGAGCTAGCTCAACTAGGTCAAACTGGTTCAACCACTATCTCAAGTGCCCACTAATGCATGATTTGATATGTACAAAATTTTAAACATGATTAAGGTTAAATGGTTAGTGCACTGTGTTGGATAGTGCACTGAACCTAATGATCATTAGCTAAGGCTGATTTGGTCAATCATGGTGGATCTATTCAACCAACGCAAACCAAGAGTTAGATTTGGATCCAATTCATTCAAAAGAATTATTTAATACCAATGGAAGTGGTCTTAGTCCATGGAATGGCTATTTGATTTGAAATGACCATTGGCTATTTGGTCAACATGAGTTAGCTTAGTCAACCATGCATGACCAAGGATTAAATTTTAGTTTTATGAATTCCCATAAGTGTTTAGGATGCATTGGTGATTGTTCCAGGGCTTGATGTGGATTATCCATGTTAAAGTTTGGAGAAAATTCCAATTTTCTTCATAAGGGGGATTTTTGCAAACCCTGGTTGACTTGGTCAACTTGGTCCAACCAAAACCTAGATATGGGTTAAATGCACTTCTAATGATGTTTAGGATGCATTGGAAGAGGTTTCATTTCTTGGTTTGGTTGGGCCATATTGAAGCTTAGAGGAAACTTCACTTTTTCTCATTGGTGGCATTTTGGTCATTTGGGCCCTCGGTAAACTCTAGGTCAACCTGGGTATAATAAAGTACATTTTTATACTCAAAATTTCATAACGATGGTTACAAACATGGTCAAGGATTTTAGGGAAGGTCTCGAGGTCAAATTCCATAAGGTGGAAGGTCTAGTGGCATATACTATAAATATTTGAAGGTTTTGTAGCCTTTGGATTTCAATAAAGTTTCTTGGGTTAAAGGTCTCAGATTGGACTCAAATTCAAAAGGTTAATCCTAGGGACATGCCTAATCAATAATCAATTGATATATCATGAATTGATTATCCTTTTTATTGGGTTTTAAGGATATTAAAAAGTTACCCAAAAAGGGTTATAGGACATGGGCCTTTAGCCTTTAATTCTGGTTTGAAATTCTTGATTTGAACTTGATTTTAGATTTAATTGATTTAATTTGATTCATCTAAAATATTGATAATAAATTAAATGATTGCTAAATATTGGATAAAGGAAATCAAATGGTGGTCACTAGGTGCTAGTGCATTGAGTTGGGCATTGTACTGAGTCATCTGACTATTGTGCAGGGCCAGAACATCTAGTGATCATAGATTGATATAGATTGGGTGATTGAAGTCGATCAAAATTTCATTGATGTTTAATTAAAGATTGGATAAATGTAGAAAGGTGTAAGCTAATTTCTGAAGTCCAAATTTAGTTCTGGATTATTGATAGCTGGATGATTATGAACCATCAGATCAGTATATAAGACTTTGGATAAAGCCTGATGACCTCATAAAAAAATGAGGTCAACATGATTATATCCTATTGATTCATATCTCAAGGTTTTACTTCCATTAAGGAGTATGTGGGGGTTGATCATGATCGTAGTATAACGGTGCAATTTTGTAGGGAACCACCCAGTTCAGAGGGTCTCGGTCATAATCGTTTACCTACAATGCCGTTTAGTGGAAAAAATCATGATGTGTTTTAATTTGGCATTGAACCTATAAGTTAGAGGGTATGGGCTACATCCTTACAAGTAAGATACAAATTGAGAATGAATCATAGAAATATTCTTGACTAGACATTAGTTCTTTATAAGCTTGAGTAATTTTTAATTTGTTCACCTTGGAAAATTGTTATGAAACGTGGATGAGTTTTTCTTTATGTATTTGATGATTTGTTTAGATTTTAAGGTATTTTGGAGTTTTGGATTTTATGGGTATTTTGGAAGTTTATAAAATATTTAAAGTTAACCCATCTGGCCGAGATCTACATTCAATACAGCCATCATCGCGGTGACTTTAAAAACATTTGAAAATATATGATCCCCTCTGGTTGATATTTACATTCAATACAATCATCATAAAGGAATATATAGGCATTTTGTTTTGTTGATTGGACCTTATCAATTATATCTGCTTTCTGACATATAATCGAGCTCTTTGCAAGCCTTATGCCTTTATGAGCAGATTTTCCTTGTTATGGGCCATGAAGGCATAATATAAACTATAAAATAAATATTCTGATTGATTCCCAGACCATATATTTGTTTAATGGTTCGAGCTATGTCAACTACTATCCATTCTCATAGGCTCAAACTTAAGTTCATTTCTTGACCTGCACAATATCCTCATATGTCACATGTATAAACACAACATGCTCGTTAGGGCCTATATGAGTGTATACTATTAAATATATATTAGATTATGTATTCACTTGTGTGCATAATACAATTTTCAAAATATAATTATTGTGTCAAATGACACACTAGAGTAAAATCCTCTGCATTTTATGAGTACATGCAGGAGGAGGATTTTTGGAATCAGTTGTAGTGTCAAATGACACACTTGAAGAATCCGCCGACATCCTAATGATATATACATGAGATTATTTAAACATGTAAAAATGATGACAAATAACATGCTGGAGTGAAATCCTCGTCATCCTATCGATATGTGTAGGAGGTCATTTTGGAATGCAATTGTAATGTTAGAATGACACACTGAAGTGAAACCTTCTACATATTACAAATATATGCTAGAGATCACTTTGAAATATACTTGCAATGTCGGGTGATGTACATGTATAACATATTTTGCAAGTTATGATATGTGTATATGTAACATATTAGTATGCAAATTCAACCATTTTTCTACATCTTGTGATGTTGGATAATATATTTAGATGAATTATTATGCATGTTACAATACGTGTGTGAGGGCATTTTTTTTAAATATTTGCATGTAGTGCAAAGAGATGTTTTGTATTTTTAAATGTAGCTAGCTCTATAGGTGATTAATGCTACAAAAATGTGCGGGATTTTACTATGGGCTTTGTTCCTTCTATCTGGTTATATGAATGTTGCAGATTTGATGTTGTGGTGTTACACTTCAACAGCATGTGATCTTTGTACTATTCATTCTATGATTTTTCTTATAGGAAAATTGTAGCATTTTCACTCGACTGCCATGAGATATCTCATTATTATGATGTAGGCTCTCTTTTCTCATTCTTCAAGAGATCAAATCCATAAATCAATTGATCCTTGTTTAGACTGGATAAGGACATCCAAATGACATGATGTCATTTTATGATAGATGTAGTATCCTCATCTGATCAAACCAAATGACCGGCTAATGCATCATTAGGCTTCTTTATCTTCAACTCATCACGAGGTAGTCTCCTCGAAACATGGACAGGGCAGAGTGCATGGTCATCTTCATTATCTAAACAACATTATAGCATCTAATATGCACATGGTACATAGAAGCTTCTTTTATGCTTCCAAAAAAATTTACTTAAGGGGCTCATTTTATGTATTTATGATGCACATGTAGGATACCAGGCTGTGAGCCTTGATCA